CACTTACCTAGTGAAGTGTCTGAAACAACAAGTGTCAGTATGAAGCCTGATTTTATATTTTTCTGGGAAATTCAAATAGCTTACCAAATTTGATTTTTTGGCATTAAGAAAATGTTCAGTTTATCTCAAGAGAGAACTGCATTCCTTATGTGTTAGGCATTAGTAATGGTACTCAAAAAATTGAATTCTTTTGTTCATTGTTAAACAATTGTGAACATTTTAAAGTCAAAAAATACTAAAACCCATTTCATTAAAAAATGAACAGATTCCTTTTTGCAACTGCAGATTATGCAAAAGAGAGAAAGTATGCCACGGGAGACAGCAGGAAGGGCTGAGAAGCAGCTGTGCCTCTGCTGGTTAGAACCTGGGGCCAGCTCACCGCGGCTCACTAGGCTAATCCTCCGCCTTGCGGCGCCGGCACACCAGGTTCTAGTTCCGGTCGGGGCGCCGGATTCTGTCCTGGTTGCCCCTCTTCCAGGCCAGCTCTCTGCTGTGGCCCGGGAGTGCAGTGGAGGATGGCCCAAGTGCTTGGGCCCTGCACCCCATGGGAGACCAGGATAAGTACCTGGCTGCTGTCTTCGGATCAGCGCGGTGTGCTGGCCGCAGCAGCCATTGGAGGGTAAACCAACGGCAAAGGAAGACCTTTCTCTCTGTCTCTCTCTCTTTCACTGTCCACTCTGCCTGTCGGAAAAAAAAAAAAAAAAAAAAAAAAGAACCTGGGGCGCAGTGTCACTGGGATGTCTCCAGCCCTGGTCTGCTGCTCTGTGTGCTTTGGCTCCATTCTCTTACCATTCTGTGATCCTAGGATGGAGAACTTGGTTGCCAGCAACTCAGGAGCTTTATATGTCACAGGACCAACCACTGGAAGAACTGCTTTACTCATGTTGTCTCCAAAAATTCACTCGGTCCTGGCTCGGGCTGCGTGTGCAGCCTTACCTCAGTCAGCCAGCTGTGGCCAAGGAGACTGGCAGTTAGGGAAACTCTTTGACAGAATGCTAAGAGTGGAAGAAAGAGAGGAACATTCTTCAGAAGAGGGGAGGTGCATTTATAAATTTCTACTATAAATGTAAGCATTGGGAGTGGCTTTTGGGGACAAGTAAAGTCGCTATGACACATGATGCTAGGTATAATTTGATATTACATATAATATAAGTGTATTTCACTTAGGCTTCGGATATGGTCTTCCTTCAAAGAGAGTACACACTCTGCTTCTGGCAGCCCACAGCTAGACATAGGACACTAAGAGCCCTATTCAGGGATCAAATTATTAGAAGCTGGGCTTCATCCCCATGATGGGCAGTTGTTCCTTTCTAATCTGATTTCTGAGGGTAAGTCTTTTGGTGACCCAGTCTCAGAGCTGGTGGACTTTATCAGAATGCCTCTTCCATAAGCTTGGGATGACCCAGATTTCTGTTTTTATTTTCTATGCCCACGAGTCTGCTATGAGAGCTGCATAGCTCTTAACCTCTCAGGCACGTATTCCAGAATTGGCCGATGCTTACATCTCTGATCCTGCCTCCACTTGGAGCAATGGGCAGCTGTTCTCCTCACATCCCTCCCTTGCTCCTGGCTGACTCCTGCCACTGCCCTTATGGTTTAGCAGAACTGTAACTTGTGGGAAACATTCCCTGACCCCCACCGCAGTGCCTCTGCCGTGTGCCATCCTGGCAGCCGGCATTTCCTTGTCAGGAGTAGACATTTGACGACATTGGCTCCTCCTGCAGCTCTAAACTTTGTGGACAGCTTCTTCCTTAGCCTCATCCCTTTCTTTCTGGAGGCTAAAACAGTACATGGAATGTATAGTAAGGGGCAGGCTTTGAGAATGCAAACATTTATTCAACGAATTTATTGATACTTTTCTACCCTTAAATGGCCTTCTGTTTCTTGTAGGAAAAAAGAAAATTCCAACATAAAATTCCAACATTCCACGCATGGCTTAAGAGTCCTTGTGATTTGAGCTTTGGATCTCTCACCACTGTCTGCTCAGAAAATCTGCTTTGCTGTTTCCACTGTGTTCTGCCTCTGTGTGTCTTTTCCCTTTGTGGTTGAAAATGCATGCTGTTTGTGTCTTGTCTCTCGTGGTCTAGAAGATTCTTGATCCTCTTTTAACAGTCAGCTCAAGTTTCTCCTCCTAGAAGTCCCCTTGGACTGCTGCTTTACCTTTTAGTATCTTACAGCACCCATCATACCATGCTACAATCATTTATGTGTTTCTTTTACCACCAAATCAAAAGTACCTAGGGACAGAAATTAGCTGTTAATCTTCATAGTCCCAATCTGATCACAGTATTTAGTTACTAGTGGTCAAAGAAACATAGTAGCCTTTCCTTAACTAGTTTGACATTAAATAATATTTTTATAAGTATTTTTGCAACGACCATATAAGTTTGATACTATAAGGATACTTTAAAAAGTTCATGAAAAATGGATTTAAAAATAAGTTTACTTTGGTATAAAAATTTTTGAAATTCATATGTATATATTTCACAATTTTTCTGCTCTAGGAGAAACTTAGCTTTTAATTCCATTTTACACAAACTTTTTGAATTACTCTCATAATTATTAAAATAAAGACTAATTCCAGTATCTTGCCTGAAGTTCCATAGCTGGTCACTGGTGGAACTAGAATTTGAACCCAGGGAATCTGATTGCAAAGTCCAAGCCGTACTGGCAAGAGAGGGAGACTATGAGGAGAGAAGCAAGGGATGTGGCATGGTAACAGATAGTTCTGTGTGTGACGAGGTCGATTTGTGGATGGGACTGGTTGGAACTGAGGCAAGACAAGTTGGTTAAGGTGAAACTATTAATAGCCTCGTTTACCATGATAAAGATTTTAGACACTGCCCTGTGGCTAATGGATTTCTTCTCAGATTTAGGCTGAGGAATTACATAATTATAATCCAACAATCAGAAAGGAGGATCTGTCTGTATGTGCAGCAGAGACGCTGGTGAAAGACGTAATTGGGCAGCGCTCTGGGGGTAGCTCAGCCTCTCGCAGGAGAAGGACGCCTGGATCAGGAGCACTGGGAGAGGCCACTCTGCCCCTGTTTTCATCGTGCAGCTATGAAACAAGGTTTTTGGTAACCACAGGGCACTTTTTTTTTTTTTTGAAAGATTTATTTATTTATTTGAAGAGTGACAGAGGAAGAAAGAGAAAAAAAGAGAAGTGTCATCCATGGGTTTACTTCTCAAATTATGAATACAGTGGCCAAGGATGGGCCAGGCTGACGCCAGGACCCAGAAACTGCATCCAGACTCGCAGAGGAGCGGTAGGGGCCCAAGTACTCGGGCATCAGGCAACGCCAGGAAGCGGAGTCAGAAGCAGAGCAGCCAGGACCGAATCCGCTGCTCTGACGGGGGGGTGTTGCAGGCTGCGGGTTAATCTGCTGCACCACGGTGCCAGTTCCCACAGGATTCTTCATTTACAGAAGGATTTATCTGGTTATCCTGATAGCATTTGGATTTGGTATTTGTCCTTAGTCTCATAGTATTTTAAATTGCCTATGTACTTGAATTTCTTTTGTGGGAAGAAATTTCACTAAAATACACAATCCAAAATATTCACAGCGTGGAAACTTTGGAAAATCTCTTTTCACTCCCCCATGTTGTAGTCACTTATATTTTTCTAGGCTTTGTATCCATATTTAATGATTGAATGATGCAGCCAGTGGAATTGATTATGGTAAATTTTAACTAAGTAGGAATTTGGAAGTACTATTTAATCAAAAATGTTGTGGACTCAAACATCTCACAGTGTGTAACATAGAACAGTAACTCATCCATGTATGTTAATGTATTCTTTGGTGTGCATTACTGTACTATTATTTTTTAGCATCCCCTGCTGTAGTTCTGTTACATTTAGAGATAGAACTAAACAAATCTGGTCTTTTTTTTTTTCCACAGTCCTAAAAGGCTTACTGGGGTTCAATAATCCTTCCGTCTCCTACCCAAGTCCCAAGTGTCCCTGTAACACCTGTCCATCTCTCATACATGCATGCATATTCTTAAATGCTTTTTGGGTGAGTGTTCTCATGATGTTGAGTGGATAAGAAACTGTAACTGGGGAGACTGCAGGTGTAGGATGAAGAAAGTGGTGTTTCACTACAGTTCTTGTTTGCTACCCCTATCCTGCCTGCGCTGTTCTTTAGACAGTTCATGCAGGCCCACCACTGATTCCCTGAGAACGTCCTCTCCTGTCTGTACCACACACCAGCCATAGCTCAGGTTGCATTTGACTCACTGTGCAGTCTCTTCCCCATTCTTCACTCCAGATTATACTTGAGGTATATTCCAACAGGTTCCTACTGTGAACATGCCATGAATAAATCCTGTATTCTCATTGGATAAAAATCTGGGCTATGAGATCAATTGAAATCATTAGACATTCTTGATAATACTAACTGGTTCTTATTCTTCTTTTCTGTGATTTGGAACTTTGAGGAATGGAATATTGAACACAGGGAAGGACTGTTTCAGACCCATGGAAGCTCCTTAATCTAATCAAGATGGTATATGCTGTTCCCATCTATGATAATAATGAGTAGCGTATAACAAGTGCCTGCTGTGTGCCAGCCCTGTGCTAAGTATTTTGTACACATAATTGATATTTACTACACAAATGACAAGTTACATTGACTACCTGTCACACACGAGAAAGCTGAGGCTGAGAGAGGAGATTCACATTGCTGAGCCCATGCAGCTCTTATGTGGTAGAACCTGAATTAACTTCAAGTTTGTCTGACTCTAAATCCTACAGCTTTTCACTAAATAAAAGTTCCCTTTCAGCCAGTACTTGACATTAACATAGAGCAACAACAACAATACAAGGGAATCAGAATTATTGGAGTGCTATTTTCAAATATGATTTTACACTGCAAAAATTTCAAATGGAATTATAGAAAAATGTGTTAAAATTGTTCATGTAACTTGTAAAAGTTTCTAGTAGAAACTGGTAGTCTTGTCTCAAATGCAGTAGTCGTGAAGAACGGATTCTCTCTCTAGTTTTAAGACAAAGCTGGCTGCAGCACTGGCACGATGTAGAATCAAGCATGACGCCCTTTCCATTTACCACATTCTGCCAGAGACAGTCAGGAAGCAGGAGCTGCGGGCCTCCACGCTGCCACTCTATGCTTGGATAAATACTTGTAAAATCAGGTAAGAGGTTTTTTTTAAAAAAATACATTTGAGAGGCAGAGAGACAGACACACAGAATGACAGAGAGAGCTCCCATCCACCAGTTCCCTCCCTAAATGCCTGCAACAGGCCCAGGCCAAAGTCAGGAGCTGGGAACTGAATCCCAGGCTCTCATGTGGATGGCAGGAACCTAGTGACCTGAGCCATCCCTGTGCCTCCTAGGTCTGCAATCGGGAGCTGGAATCAGGAGCTGGAGGCAGACGTAGGTCCCAGTTGTTCCGGCGTGGGCTGCAGACCTCTTCACCACCGGGCAGATGCTTGCCTGAAGGGGACGAGTGTTAATCAAACTCTGTTCATATTTCACGTCTCCATCGCTTTAAAACATTGTGACAAGAAATATCACCTTTTAAAGAGTTGGGGGGCACATCTCGGGGAGTGATTAGGGAATCCTAGTTCCGTATTTTATTGCCAAATTATCAAAGGCTGTTACATAAATATACTAACTTTTCTGTCTCTAATTATCTTTTAACTTACTGTTGGCTACAATTGTGGGTTCCACTAGATACAGTAATTTTTCTTTGTTTCAGGACAAAGTGTTAGTGTTCAGCACACTTTAATGTATTATATTTGTAATTACAACCTAATGTTGTTTATTTACAGCCCTGAAGAAGTTTATAATAATTTGAAGATAAAAGGTTATCGTAAAGTCAAATCCATATTGCACATTGATGATAAAGTCTTTGCCGTGGACCAACATTGCTATGATGTCTTAATTTTTCCTTCTCATCTTAAAAAAGATCTTGTAAATATAGATCTCTTCAAAGATTATAAACTTATTTTTCAGGTAAACTAATATTTACTTTCCTTGTGATTCTCAAGAATCCCATTTAGCCAAAGAGTTCCTTCACCTACATGTAAAACCTAACATTGTTTACAGTTTTTAGGGATTATCAGAGCAGTTTATAAGGACTGATGGTCACCTTGAATAAAACTGACATCTCCACAGTCAGTGCTTCTGTTCCTCCCTTGGCATCGCTGTCTTAGGTGGGGTTATAAAGGATACATTTTCCCCGAAGTCCATAGCTGGGAACATTTATATTGCTGGCCCCTAAGGGAAGATTCACGAGAAGGTCCAGTGAAACCTTTCTTCCTTCCATTTTAGGGGAAGACAGTAGTGCCATGCTACACATGAAAAGGCAGTGTGTACACTTTCTCATAATCTCTTTAATACAGTCTTCTGGTTTTGATTTGTAGGAGGTGAGTAGTGGCTACTGATACAGGCAATGAATGTGAGAAATAACGTGATTCCAATAGAAGGAACAATTAAATGTACAAAAATGGGGTTTTTCAATCCTTAGATTCTGATTCTTGCCTTGGAGTTCTAAGGTTTATTCCTTCCTCCCCTCCAGAGTCGTGAGCATCAGGATCTCTTACTCTGTAGGATCACTGTAGAAGCCCAGTCTGTCAAACACCCCTTTACACAACTCTCAAACACCTCAGTTTTAATCTCTGTGAACCTGCAGTGATCAAGATGACAATGTAATGAAGAAGAAAAAGTGGCAATAGGCAGATAAGTGGGTTTTCATGAAGGGATGAGGTTGGGAGTTAAGACAGGACATCAGTAATCTACTTAATCATATTTTAGAGATTTTGGCATTGCTTTATCACTATCTATAAATTGAGTGATAGCATAATTTACGCTATCCAAGGTTAAGCTCTTTGTTTTAAATGTGTATTTATCAATTATCTCTGTCAACTTTTTATTAAGCTATTAAGATGTTTTAAACCAAAATGGACTGGATATCTCTTCAAGATTCCTACCAAGTACTTCCTTTTCTCTAAAGGAAAAAGTACTCGATTTATGTTTCTAGTTATTCCCTTTGAGAATTCTAATCATACCGTTCGTTATCTCCTAGGACAAATCTCGAAGTCTTGCTGTTCATTCTGTAAAGGCTTTACTAAACATGGAGGATGATATCCTAATGGTCAACACAGGCTCATGGTACACAGTTGCCCATATGTCAATCTTAACACATAATAATACTTCAAAAATATTTGTGTGTAGAGTACGATCACATGCTAAGGATCCTGACCTAAAGAAACTTTTCACAAAAATGGGATGTAAAAGTACGTACAAATGTTTATTTATTTGGTGATTATTGCTCTACCAGAGTTTACAGATAGTAAGAATGTTTGAGGGGCAGGAGTTTAGCACAGTGGCTAGGATGTCAGTTTTGATGCCTGCATCCCCTGTGGCAGGGTCTGGGTGTGAGTCCTGGCTTCGCTTCCAAGTCCACCTTCCTGCTGATGTTCACCATGGGAAGCAGCAGGTGATGGCCTCGTGTACTTGTTTCCCTGTCAGCCGTGTAGGAGACCTGGATTGAACTCCTGGCTTTGGCTGGACCCAGCACTGGCTGGTGCAGGCATTTGGGGAGTGAGCTAGCAAATGGAAGATCTCTCTCTCTCTTTCTCGCTCTGCCTTTCAAATAAATTAAGTTTGAATTTATTATTATTTTTTGTAAAGTAAAAACTCTATATGAACTGTACTTTTAAAACCTTTACCAGTCTATATTCTATCAGGGTATTCTTGTTACTTAATATTGGTGAAACAACTATAGGTTAAATGAATTCATATTTTGTACTTTGCAATTGTGTTTGACATTTAGCCACTATATAATTTGAGGACATTTGGTTAAAGTAGATGGTAGAAATTTCATTTAATAAATAAGAACATAATTTCATAAGTGCTTATGTGACAAAGAATATTTATCTAGGACTAGAAGCTAAGTCTTTTAGGCTTCTTGTTTTTAAAAATATCTTGTCATTGGATCATGCTAGAAATCAAACTGTATTGTAGGTCCATTGATACTGAAAAGTAAACAAACTTTTGACAGATTCATAGGGCATGGAGACAAAAGGTAGAATTTGCATGTGATGGTGGTATAGTGGTGAGCATAGCTGCCTTCCAAAAGGTAGAATTCAGGGGCCGGTGCAGTGACCTACTAGGTTAAGCCTCTGCTTGTGGTGCTTGCATCCTTATGGGCACTGGTTCAAGCCCTGGCTGTTCCACTTCCAATCCAGCTCCCTGCTAATGGCCTGAGAAAGCAGTGGAAGATCGCCCAAGCGCTCGGGCCCCTCTACCCATGTGGGAGACCGGGATTAAGCTGGATCCTGGCTTCAGACTGGCCCAACTCCAGCCATCTGGAGAGTGAACTAGTGGATGGAAGACCTCTTTCTCTGTTTCTCCCTCTTTCTACCTGTAACTCTGCCTCTCAAATAAAGAAATGAATCTTTTTTTTTTAAAGTAGAATTTAGGGCTTGATCAGGAGAGGTAGCCTGAAAAGTACCTAGTATTTCACTTGGAGCACAGAAGTATACATCAGATAGTGAACAATCCCCCAAAGAATTGGAGCCCACGTTCCAGTCACCTAATTCCCAATCGGATTAGTGTGATCTGGGGTTGCTAGTAGCCAGTCTTAGACATAGATTTTGCCTGCCAGATGCAAAAGTAAATTCTCTGCGGAAGGAAATAACATCATCCTAGGTCCTCAATTGTATCCTTTTTTTTCGCATGTGCAGTGTCTGGCACCCAATTAAAAGGGGGGGGGGGCATTCAGCTTAGTGGTTAAGGTGCCAGTTAAGACATTCACACACCTGGGTTTGTACCCAGCTCCATCTCCTGATTCCAGATTCTTGGTGGTGTAGATCATGGGAGGCAATCTTGACGATTCAAGTAGTTGGGTTACTGCCACCTACAAGGGATTCTTAGGTTGAGTTCCTGGCTCTTGGCTTCAGGCCCTCCCAGCTCTGGGTGTTGCAGGTATTTGGAGACGGAACCAGCAGATGGGAGATCTCGCCTTCTCTTTCCCTCTCTTTGCTTCCAAGTAAATAAATAAATAAAAATTGGGTAAAAATAAAATATATGATTAAAATTAAGAGAAAATACTGTAATAGAATCAGACTCACACAGGATCCAGATGGGACTTTAAATAGCTACGACTGGGGTGGGCTATATCCCGGCCCAGCCCTGGCTGTTGCCTGACATTCAGGAAGTTAACCAGCAAATGGGAAATCTCTGTTTGCAACTCTCTCTCGCTCGCTGTGTGTGTGTCTGTCTCTCAGTTTTTAACAAATAAATAAAATTCTAACAGAAGAAACAGGTTTAACAGTAAATGACACAAAGTTAAAGAAGCAGTGAATGGACTGATAGACTAGAAGAAAATACCAAGACAGAAGCATGGGAAGAAAAAGGGATGACTAATGTAAACGAGGTCGTAAGACACATCTGAGATTCTGACTCTGTGATCGTGTGTGTGTATTGTGTGGGATTCTAGAAAGGGGAGAAAAGAAATTGGGAAGAAACAGTATTTGAATGTCAAGCTGAGAAGTTTCCAAAATGGATAAAAGACATTAAGGCACAGATTCAAGACTTCCTGTGAACGTCAACTAGAATAAATATATGGAAAATATATGCTATGATCTGAATGTTTGTGTCACCCCCAAGTTCATAAATCACACTCCTAATCTCCGAAGTTATGGTATTAAGAGATAAGACCTTTGGGAGGCCCTTGTGAATGGGATATGTCCAGTGAGTTTCTCCTTTAAAAAAGTATTCCAGCTAAGAAATGAAACAAGGATTTAAACATTCACGACAAATGGATATGCTAACATACTGATGTAGAATTTTTAAGTAATATTTTTACATTAATTTTCCATGTTTTTTTTCCTTCCAGATATTGAAATACTTCATGATATATTTACTGACATTGACTCAAAGGATCAGAGGTTACAGAAAGTTAAAGTGATTCTGCTGCTGCCTCGTTGTTCAGGACTGGGTGTTAGTAATCCAGTAGAATTTATTTTAAATGAACATGAAGGTACATGTTTTAGTTCGTAAATTTTAAAAATTTAGTTGATAATTTAAAATAAAATTAATAAAATAGCATATGAAATATACCTGATTAATGAATAAGCCACAATGTATAAAGTTCTTACTGAGTATAATATACTTAACCTCTCTTGCTTGATTCAATCCCTTTTGCAATCCTGTGAGAGACAGGCAGCTGTGCTATTACACATGTTTGACAATTGGAAGGATGTAGGCAATCAGGACAGATGTGGGTCAGTAAGTGATTTTGGTTTATACCAAAGCTCTAGATGCAGGCATAAACATTTGTCAGCATTCCATTAATGAATAACTGAGATTCAGAAAGATTGAGTCATCCTTATAAAGTCATACAATTAGTTAAAAACAGGGCTAGAATTCTATTTAGATCTGCCTATGCTCTAAACACTACTGTAATCAAATCAAGATTAGGCTAATTCAAACTCAAGATGGTTTAAATCTCCAGTATATGTGTTTTATGATAAAAATATCTCAGACTAAATACTAACTCTAGGAATATTTTATTGGCTTCTTTTATAAATTTTAAAATTATGATTTAGCATTAACATTTATTGAACACTTACACGTACAGTACGAGCTAAGCACTTCATTTGGATCCTTTCATTAAATGCTCACAAGGAAGCGGTGACTCTCATTTTCCCCTGTTACAAACAGGAAGTCTGAGGCTCAGGCAATGTCAAAGCCTCGCAGAATCCTTGGACGGGAAGTCTCTGAGCCTGCTTGCCCACACAGCCAGTCTGACTGTGAAGCTGGCACATTAAAAAAAATTAGTGTACTCATAGTTTACATATTTGAAAGGGGGAGTGGCGGGGAGGAGGTGGGGTGGAGGGGGGTGAGGAAGAGAAGAAGGAGGAGAAGAGAGATTTTCTACTTTCCTGGGTCACTCCCCAAAGCTTGTGAACAGCCAGGGCTGGGCCAGGCTAAGAGTTGGGAACTCAATTCAGGTCACTCACATGGGTGGCAGGGACCCAACTACCCGAGTCATCATTTGCTGCCGCCCAGGGTGCACATTGGGAGGAAACTGGATATGGAAGGAGAGCAAGGACTTGAACCCAGGTACTTTAACCTGGGACGTGTGTGTCTCAGGCAACGTCTTAACTGGAATGCCAGATGTCCACTACAGACACTGGGCTATTGATCACTCTGTTAATCACATTGTATTGCCCCAAATTAGCTGACACTGATTCCTACTCTGATCTCTTGATTATACTGAAAGGCATAGTAACATAACTAGAATATTAGAAAAGGAAGACACTCCACGCCACTGGTAGTCAGAAGATGGTAACTGAAAAGGAAGGAAAAGAGGCAGAGAGAGAAGTGATGTTTATTGAATATAAGACTGCCCCAGGCACTACTGTAGGTAGTGTGTCTACACTGTGACTCTGCATTCACAGCCAGTTTTTGAGGATGGTATTATCCCCATTTTATGGAGGGGGAAATAACCCCAAGACTCAGAAAAATTAAGCAAACTGCTTATGGCCATTAACTAGTAAGTACAGGAGCGGGAATTCACATTCAGGTCAGTTAGCAGATTTGCTTTCCACTAAAGTGTACTATTTTTAACTGGGCTTACACTGTACCCTGTGGACTGTTGATTCATTGTAAAAGAAAACGCTCTTGAGTCCCTCAATAATGTATATTCTGGGAAACCTCGTTGTTTGGTGGTTTCATGGTTGTGTGAACATCATGGAGTATACTTACACAACCTGGCTGGCGTGCTGGTTTGAGGCTGCTACTGGTGTAACCCTGCATAAATCTGTAGTAAAATGTTTGGCTGTACGTAGGAGGAGTACACTGAAACAATGATAGAAAGCACAGTAAATAAGGTGTGAAGTGTCAGCTTGCTCCAGTCTGTGAAGGAAGAAGTCGTGAGACAAAGGTCCTGAAACTTGTGCTCTAACCATGGAAATGAGGGGCTCTGACTGCAGTGACATGCCACCTCTTGAAAGGCAGCTGGTTGGGTGCTCATGGGATAGAAGAGGAAACATCTCTGAAATATCAATAAATTTCTA